TTATAGCTCATAAATGAAAGCTTCAGCAGATGGCAAGATCATCACCAAGATGATGTGCACTTTTAGGACACGTGGCATTCTTTGTTTCCTATTACATAAGTAATCCAGAACTGTGGAAAGATATCTGCTTCTTCCTTCAACTGTCCTCTGAACCTTTCTTAGAAGAAGACAGAGCATATGAAGAAGGGCTACTCTCACAGGCTGCATACCTCTTCGTTCAAATATTTCCTTTACCGGCAGTCATGCACTGCACTTTACTAAAAGTGTCTTATTTCAGTTCACCTTATTGTCTAATGAACTTTTCATATTTTCTATTTTTGACTATTTGTATTCACTAACAGTAGTTAAAGAGAGAAATACTGGATCAGTTTAACAAAATAATTATAATAGGCCACACTCCATTACTGTTATTAATTGAATTTGCCCATTGAGGGTTAACAGTTAAACCATTTCTGTCTTATATCTGAAAGAGATTATGATAGCCTTTGAAAAGCAAATTAAAATAACTAACAAACTCAGCATATTCACTTATTTTGAATGTCATTCTAGTCTATAGAGTTTTCTAGTCACAGTCTACAGGTTTGTGCTGCTGAAAGAAAAAATAGTTCAACAGAGAAGAATGTTTTTCAGATAGTTTATTGCATGAACTTACAGTACAGAATTGCTTATATGGGCAATCATAAATACGGCCTCTACAGTAATGCTGACTAAAAGCAATTTACTCATTTGAAGCTTATGAATGTAAAACTTCTGTTAAACAAAAAGCCAGGCTCAGGTTCAATGGGATTTAGTTTTAAGAGTAAACACGTTAAAAGATAGATGTATTTTTAGTAAGAGGACTAGGATAGGGACCTGGCTGAGCCAAAATGATCTTTTATGACAAGGTACTCAACCTACCTGTGTCCCAGGTTTCCCAGGAAGATAAGGAGGATAATAGCCTTTTTGCCCTTACACTGGATTGTGAAGCTTAATTCATAAAGACTCTTATCCAAAGCCATTAAAGCCAGTAGAAATCTCTCATTGACTTTAATGAGCTTTTGTTCAGGTCCTTTACAAGACAGCTGAAAGACTGCCATTGACTTCAAGCCCTAATTTTATAAAGCTCTTTCGTATTCTCAGCTTGGACGCATTTGGAAACATAGAAATGTAGTAATAAGACTATTACATTCACCAAACAAATCCCCATAAGATAAAATTGAACTTTTTTTTTTATTATTTTAATTCTGAGAGTGCTATTCACTGCATATGTGTATATCCAGGAATATATACATATATATCAGTTACCATATGCATTTATTAATAACTGTTTCTCAGATACCTTTGCATGTTGGTTGCAAATCATCTCTGCACTGTTGGATGCCAACTCTACACATTACATCTGGATGAAGTACAGTTTATAATGACTTTTCCCTTGATTTAGCCAGAGTGTCAGATCCAGAATATAAATCATGACTTTGCTTTTATGCTGGTATTATCCTGGCTGTGCAGGCAAAGACAGTAACTGATCTGGTAGAAAGTTAACAATAAAGTTAACCCTTTAAAATCTTCAAGAAATTTTAAGCAGCAGAGTAGTTTAATACTTGATCAATTCTTTATACTGTCTCCTGCATTTCTGATCTAAGAAAGCAGAAGCATTGCCAGGAACAGTAATGTTAGATTTCCTATGCTGTCAAACTACAACCTCATAGTAAAAAGGCCCCCCAAAACAGGAAAATTACCAGAATTGAAAGCAAAAAGGAGAAACATTAAAAAGTGGTATCATAATTATATGTTATTCATGATTACACTCCTGTAGTATGCCAATTAAGGAATGCTAAGCTAATATCATAAAAGCTTGACTTCATTCTATAAGAATTTGAAAAAAGTAACAGCTAATTGAGTAGAAATTGCTATTCCAGTCCAGGTAATTGAAATAAATTTCCAGTGATATGTAATTTTTTATCCCCTTAAATAACGGTAAAAAGATGCAAGTTCTCTGAATATTTATTGGCTTTTATTCAAAAGAGCTATTTTCAGCATTATGAATGGCTAACATAACATATTTCCAAACCTGAAACACGGCAGTATCAAAGCAATAGTATTATATAACACCGTCATTCTGTATTGCACAAAGTATTTTTTTTTAAGACAATGTACAATAACCATGCACTACTTAATTGAGTCCAATATTCTGGAAACGTAATTAATATGTATGTTTTGATCATATAGAGAGTTAACAGCATTTCTAATTCAGCACTACCCACAGATGTCCTGTTACTTTTGTAAGATCAGTTAAGGTATTAATTTTATTCAAAGACAGGCCTAAGCAGAAAGGAAATACTAAACCTTTACAAATCTTAGTTAAAACATTTTCATTTTATTTACACACTTCAGGAAAATATCTCTCTATGACTTAACATTGCAATTTTAGTCCTATAAAACCAATGCAATAAGAAGAGATAATATAATTTATTTTACAATATTTTTATGAACTAAGTAAAGATAATTCAATCTTCCAACGTTTTACATTTTAGAAATTCATATCTCTCCAAAGGTGTATCTAATTTAGAACTTGATTGGTATCAGGGTTTTTGCTTTATCAATCTAACCCATTAGGCCGTTACATACATTGTTATTCTCCAAGAGAAAAAATGATTCTAACATCTGTTCTCAATCTGTTTTTCCATAATTTCCTTTTATGCCCCATGTAACTCATTAAGCTCATCTACAAAACATTACTGTGTCTGTCTACACTATATATGCCTTCCTACTATAAGACTGCATGAAAATTGAAAAAAATAGCCTACAACACAATCCACTTTAAAAATACACTATTTTTACTGAATCTTTTGATGCAAGAAAATATATTTGGTTTTGCAAGTCAGAATTGTGACACATGTAACATTTAAACTAATCTCTTAAGTGACCTATATTCTAACAAAATGAGAAAAATGGGTTCATGTCTTACCATTGTGCAGCCTGTTCCTTATGACTGCTGCAGTCTTATGAGAGCAAAAGTGTTTAAGAATAATATACCTTCTGAATGGCTTGAAGAGAGCGATTTTAATATCTTAATTCACTTGTGCAAGTGATCTCAAGAGTACAGCAGACAGAGGGGTAGAAAATGTCCCAGTAACCTAAAATCTAACGTGTGTAGAATGGAAAAGAACCTGGAGTTCAGGATGTCCTTCTAAACACACTTTCCATTTTCTTCTACAGATGAAAATTTTCAAGCTAGTTTCCAGCCCTGTGATCTCTTCTGCCCCCTTTTGCCTGTACTCAATGATTGCTGCTCCAATTTAATTTCAGAGGAAAATACCTATTTACAGCTGACTTGACTGTAATGTATTCATCAACATAATATGAAGGTCATTCTTCCTGCAGAAAGCTAGAGAATTGCTGTCAAAAATGTCTTACCAGCTCTCGAAAGGTGCCACTGCTGTAAGAAAAGTGACGTACTATCCGATGTTAGCTAGCAGCTGATGACTAACGTGAGGTCAAAGCCTAGTGAAGGAGATTTTCTAATATTTATAAACATCAGTGAATTGAGTAAAAATCTGAAGGTATTTAGATTTACCCCAACATGCTATCTTGTATGAAAGCTGCATGGTGCCTATCTTGAGGATTTTATCTTGTATTAATATCTGTGTGAACTGCTGTAAATCTGAAACCAATGCCCAACTGCTGAAGTTTCCTTATGCTCTGAGTCTACACTGGCAATATATTTGTAAGTGAAAAGATTAGTGGCTTTATGACTAAGATTTATCTTGGGAACAGAGAATGAGACAGAAAAGGAAAAGCCTACTAAGGGAGGAAAGAGATACCTTCACAGGATAGACTGAATTAAATCCTGCAGGAAAGAACCTCTAAAACTAGATGTTAGAAATTTTAGAAGATAGTAGCAGGAAAATAATAATGAAAAATAGCAAGAAATACAAGCACAAAAAAAGTGACGACAAACCAAAAGAAAAGCAATGGCATCACATACTCCAAACCAGACAGTAGGCCTTTTTTGCATTTTTTCTGGAAAACAAATTATTTCAAGTTAATAATTGGGCTAAACTTCCAGAAGCCAGAAAAACTCATAAGGTCCTTGCTGTCATTAATTCAATTCGAGTCAGTGGGGTGACTTCTGTATGAAATAGGTATGAAATGCATAAGGGTGGAAAAATCCAGCCTTGACAACTTCCCTGTGACAACTGTTTTTTCATAATATTAGAAGAGTATTCTCTCTTAAAGACACATGTCAAAAACCTGCATATGGAATAGGGCAAAAAGTATTTGTGTTTCCGCAGCAGGATGCACAGCTTATGCAACTATTTCCTGCATGCTAGATTAAGTTAAAACAAGAACAGGAATCTACACAAAGTGTAATAAAACCAAAACCAAACCAAAACTAGAATGCAGAGAAAGCATTTACTGTCTTCCTGATAAACAGATGCACACTTTTACTAGACAAGAAACAGATTTTCAGGTTACGTTTTATCTTCATTCAATATGAAAATGGCCTTATACAAAGAAAATTTAAATATTTACTTTTGAGAAAGTTTTGAAATATCTGTATCATCATCCACAGACCAATTTAGCACTTAACACTTACTAAGTGCAGTTACGGTTTCCTAATTCTTTATCCCAGCACTGACGCTAAAGCAAGACCAAGCTCCCAGGAGGGAACCATTCCAAATTACATCAGCTGGCAACATGTCTTCAGGGAGCATCTGTCAGCTACAGGGAGCTGGCTCGCCCTCTGGCTACTCCTCCACTACATCCCTCCAAATTTAAAATCTTCACCACTTCTCTTTCTGTGTGGGGGAATTAAAAGGAGTCTTTATTCTTTTTATAATAGTTAAGAGCAAAGTCTTTCTCCGCTGACCGAGATATTTTGTAAAATCTAATCATTCTCACAAAAACAATAAGAATCCAATCACAATCAATCATATTTGCTATGTTGCACAAATGACCCAGGAGACACGCACTGCTTTTCGGTTGCAAAGTGTAAATGATATAGAGAATTGACTTACCGGCCCAAAAGCGTTGCTGTCAAAGCTGTGTCCATGGTGATCACCTTCCACCCAAATATGCCCATGTGGAACTTTCACATACTTCTTTTTGTATCCAATGGTTCTAAAATGAATTACAAAATTAGTTAAATTAATTAAATTAATTAATTAAATTAGTTAAAGTAATTAGCTAATTAGTTAAAAAATTATAATGTTTTGTTAGGAAAATTCACATATTTATTGTGTTGGAATTTGACCTTGCATATCATCCAACACTTGCTTAAAAAAAAAACATGCTGAAGTCCTTTAGACTTCAAGAGTGCTACTCAAGTGAAAATACACATAACAATTTTGTATGAGCTAGTTGCACTATCAGGGCCTGTTTACTATGTTGTTTTGGCAGAAATCACATCACAACTGGGAACAAGAGACTTTTCAGTTAAATATAATTAAGGGATTCTTATTTCCATCTCTGTAGTAACAATTCTCTGAACCATCAGATTTTATCTCAGGTAAATGCCAGTGGACACATGTTGCAGTGACATAAAGATATTGTATTGAGAGTGCTTTTCTTCTGGGGTAGCATTAGGTATTCAACAAAAATAGTCTGGCATATCTGAACTGACCTCGGATTTGGAGCTTGGATTCCTGTAATGCTTATGTCCTAGGGGTAGGATTTCTTCAGCTGTAACAAGCTAAACAGGATAAAGTTAAAGGAAACCTCTAAGAGAAGGCCAAGTGCTGCAAAAAATTACATTGATGATTCAAGTCATTCTTCACAGAAATTCATACTGAAGCAGTGCCTCAGCATGCCCTGATATTACAAAAATGACAAACTACAGATAAGTCCTAAAGCTGAAGTGCAGAGTATGCAAAATTCCTGTATTTAGTTCCCGAGTAGCTGTCATTTTCACAATTCCAGTCTGCCTTCTACCATACACTTTTGCTTTCTTTCAGATGGGATCTGTTATTCTGCAGTCATTCATGCAGGGAGGTGATTTTATTGTGCACACCAAATTATTACCATGATGAAGCATTTACAAACAGGACTACAGATAGCGATACCTTTTATTTTGTTTTGGATAACCAAATCTGTTCATAGACAAAAACAGACTTTTGCTTTAGCTTGTTGCCTCCAGCTGCTCATCACTTTTCACCGTCTGGAAGATATGCCCCCAAAGCAGGAGGCAGAAGGAGCAAGCTCTAAAACTAAAGAAAATCAACTGAAAAGAGAAAATAACCTTCACCAGGAGATTCAGCTGAACTGTGCAACAGCACTGATCAGGGATGTTCACAAGTCAAAATGGGAAAACTGTTTCTGGTGAGGTTTGTGTGGCTTGGGGGGGGGGGGGGTGAGGATGTTATAAGGACAAGCTAATTAATAACCTGGAGACCATGAAATATTAGATGAATAAGGAATCCTCAAAAGTGCATTTTATTAAGGTTATTTGACTTTATTAGTCAAATAAAAATAATAATTATTTACTTTGCACATTGCAAAATCCAACCAGTACTTTTTCAAACAGCTTCTTCTGGCAGCTAAAAGGATGAGCATGCCAGAACTGTATTCTAATGGAAGATCTACCTGTGCTTTCATTGGAAGCTGAAAAAACAATTGCCTATTTGCAGAAAAAAATGTCTCTGATTTTCATCTTTCTTTAGAACAGTTTAATATTACACAGTATTCAACACTGAGTTCCTAAACCATTCAAAACAAAAATGCAAAACTGTCCTGAGCTGGTAAATATATGATTTCTTAAACACAAAGACTAGTTCTGTAATAATTTAATTATGCTAAAAGAGCAATTTATTACTATGCAATTCCTGCTTTTTTTTTTTTTTTTTTTTTTTAAGAAATATGGCATACAGTCTGGACAACAAAATTATTTATGTTTTGAGATTCCATAATGCTTTGTCTCACTGATAATTTCTTTTATAAAGTACCATATGAGACTATATTTTACTGGAAACATGTCTTAAGATATAGGCTGAGAGAAGTGGCCATTAATTCTGTTCTGTCTGATTAGACACTCTGAAAATTATTAAATTAGTATCTTCCATCAGTGATAAAGGCAAACAATAGCCCAAAAAAAATATTTAATTTTCTCTTCCATTCATCTTCCTGAATATAGAAGAGTAGACGATTGTGATAAAGTTTTGTACCTTTACAGACTTCATGCACAAGACTGAATTTCACCCAGAAGGGTGAAAGGATTTGAAAGTTAATTCTGCTGACATGTTTACCTCATAAATGTCAGGAAAATAACATGGAAAATGCCAGTCAGTGACTTCATCTCAGACCGAACACAATCTCTTACCCCCAAATAATCTCCTCCTTTATTATGATTAGGAAATCACTAACAGGAAGGAAGAAAAAAATTGAAAAAAAAAGCTTTTTCAATAAGTACTTGGAAACAAAAGTGGAAACAATTTGGCCTGCATGGATAGATCTTGCAGAGATTTGCAGAGACCCTGTGAAAATAGAAAGGCTTAATAGAGGTGTATAGTGTGTTCTTTAAGGCCTAAGGCAAAAAGAAAAAGATTACAGAGTGCAGTAATTATCATTGGTTCTTTTTATTATTTCTACAACATAGGAAAATACATATTTCTTTTCTACTCTTGAAATAATCATGATAAACCATAAAAAATTGCTACATTTATGAAAAAAAAAGTCTCTTACAGTGATTAAAGAGGAATTATGTACAAATTTGCATATCGAAAAAAGCAGATGATTGTACACAAGAAGTTTTGACTTAGAGGAAATAGAATTAAAATTGATGATGTTAATAAATGTAGTAAGGGAACAGGGGAGAGAAAAAGAAATGGAAAAGAAACAGGCAGCAGTTCTAATTATCTACTTTAGTAGATAGGACTGATACTGCATTGATAAATCCCTCTGTAAGCTCAGCTGATAAATATAAAACCTCCTGCCATTTAATGTATGGGGTATATAAGTAGTCAGATTTTTCCCCCATGTAGGTCCAATAGAAAAAAATTCAAGATATAGTGTAAACAATAAGTACCTGTATACCTGTGAACAAAAGAGAGGCAAGAAAATCTATTTTCCTAAGAGAATTCCTTCAAACTGTTAGTGTAGCATTTGCATAGGGCAGTTATCTAGGGACTTTGCATCCACTTCAGCAAAAAAAAAAACAACCTGTCCTGTGGAATGCAGGTTGAAATTTGAAAACAAAGTTTTACTTAAGCTTTTCACTCCATGAATTAGTAATGAACTGCAGCAATAAGCTCATATTACAGTAAATTGGATCATCCATTACTTAATATTGGTTTTAATTTTCAAGATAATTTCATTGTTGAATTATTCCACAACAGATCAATAAACCATTCATGGAAGCAAACCAGGTTACAGGCTTCAGAAAGCCATATTTGGTTAATGACAGTAGGTTATTTTTAATTATTGTTATAAAAATTATGTTGATTTTTTTAAGAACAAAAAACCCCAAACTTCTTGTTTCCTCTCCTATGAAGAGAGCATAAATTGTTTCATAATCAAAATTAGTCAGTTAGTAACACTGCCCCTCTCTCACATGAATCTTGCAGAAATTAAACACTTCAGTCTCTGGCCTAAATTGCAAGCAGGAGACCGTGAGTGTGTGCTACATTGGCAACATGGCTCTTGCTCTAAATGTACAAACTGCCATTCACTCAGTTCACTAGCTAACCATTTTAGCTAGACATGCTGAGAGAAAACTATTAACCCATGTTTTTGTGCAATTCTACAAGGACAAATTACTAACACAAATTGTACATAATTTCAGAGAAGAAGTGTTGACTCAAGCCCTTTTCTTAAGGATAACTTTGCAGGCAACTGGCATCCACTTTTCAGATTCAGGCCCATGTAAATAAATAACAATTATAAGTGTAATGATCAATATGCCTGTGAAAAATTAATACAATATAAAGTGAAAAATTACTTTGGAATGCTTCTAGCACTCTTCAACAACAACAACAACAAAACCTAAAATCCTTAAGCCAAATATCAATTAAAAGCACAATTAGCTCATCAGGAAATGCAGTCAATAATGTACTGTATATTTTGAAAGTAATGTAAAAACCTATTTTTCTTTCTTAGTTGAGTATACTTAGACTCATTTCTCTAAGTTTGTCTGTAATCTTGACCTCTGTTAGCTCTCACACATGAAGTTTTTAATTAAATTTAGAAGATGTCTGAATGAATTCTTAGGAGAACAATTGGTGTTAGTAATAATTAACTCAGTATTTGTTAATTTCATATCTAGTTCATTAGATGAGTTATAATTACTGAACAACCTTTTAAATTTCAGAAAGCCTCTACTAATGAGTAGTCTTTCTCTTTCTAAGACCTAGTATCTTTGAAGTAAAAATCAATAAAGACTGTTTAACACCTCTTACCCTTCCCATTTTAAAGGTTCGCTTTAGGAATAGCACAGGCAAGGACATTAAAATACCCAGATTTTGATACATAATATTCAAGCACCTGTTAAAAACCATACCAATGTGTACAAAAAAAATTTCAGGTTTTACCAAAGTCTTTGACAGGTTAGTAATAACCACCTATACTACTGTTGCTCACACTGTAGTTAAACTCCCACTAGCTTAAGAACAGTCTACAAGAGTTGCAGTAATTTTCTTGATCAGAATGTAATGGAATTACATTTATCTTTTTGGTCATTTTTCCAGAAATTGGTCTGAAATTCTGATTTTTTTTTTCTTACGTCTGAGGTACATTTTGAACCTTTGCAAAGGTTTTTTTCTCCATGATTTAATAGTTAACAGATGTACTTATATCTGTCCTTGGCTGAGAAATAATTTCAATCCTGACAGTCAAAAATGAGCTCTATATGGTATTCTAACCACCTGCCCACAAGCAAGAAAAATCTGCTTTTTTAGGATATGGTACCAGTGCCAAAGCAAGCAACTTGGCTCAGCTAAGTTGGATGAGGAATGATTGCCTTCAGTTTGATTTGACCTTGAGAAATCAGAAGGTCTCAGCAATCTGCATACCTCTGGGTGTCATCATGGAACAGACACTGTAGATAATTTCCTCTGTTTGCACAGGAGATAAGAAACGAATACAAACCCTTTTGTAAAATAGGTAGTCTCTATCATACTTAAGAGCAACTT